CAATGAGGTCAGAGCCACAGCTGATATGTCTAATTAATAGTCTACACCCACTCCATCTGTCCCACAAAATGTCTGAGAAAAAGCATAGGGTAAAACATCTGCATTATGAGTCAATGCTGTTCAAATCCCACATAAAAGTGAGAGCACTTGGAGGATTTCATCCTCTGAAGTATCTAAATATTTGTGCCAGCACATTTCATCAAGTTTCCATTTAGAGGAATTTTGTGGGTAAATTACAGAGCAAAAACTCAAATGACAAGAAATCTGTGGGTGCGCTTGTTATACATATTATGGCAGATCCTGAAAACCCACTCTCCTGTGTAGGTGCCTGAACCCTACCATGAAAGGCAAAGCTAATTTTTCTGACTCACCTAGGTGTGTCTCATTGTCTCTGGGCTAGGCCTGAAACGTGTTGGCAATCTCCCTTGCAGGCTTTGTCTTGACAATGCAGCAAATGGCTTTAGGACTCCTACTCCAAGATCCTAAACCACCACAGCTGCATGACTAAAAGACCAATCCTGTATAATGAATTAATCTTTAAGGTTCAAATTTGTTAAAAAAAATGTTGACAAGTTAACTTGTATCCACAGGGCTTGATGCCAGGTAAAGTATTTATTATTTGTGCCTCCTGTGTGAACTTTATGTTGAATTGACTAATAATCTTCTTTCTACAGCTATTATAAAACCCATATAAGTTCCATACTATATGCTGTGGCTAATTTTAGAGAAATCAAATTATATGCTCCCTGATCTGGACCAAACTGATATTGTTTGGTGATCAGGCAGTGGAACTGTAGCTTCAGAGACAGTGAAACTTGGGATGAAGATAGAGATTATCTATAGAAGAAGAATGTAGGAACAGTCGAGTTGGAAGGGGAGGAATGGAACACAGCTGGGGTGTTTTGTGGTTTTGTTTTTTTTTTCCTGTTAAGTGAGATATTGATAAAGTCAAAAAGACAGGAATCTCTGTAGCTTGTGTGCAATATATCTGCTACTCAGAACAGAATGGGAGATATGCATCCATGCCATTTCATATTACATAAACACCATTTATATTACAGGGTGCAGACAGACACACACACACACACACACACACACACACACGCCTGTTAACTGTGTACCCTGTATCCATCAGGGTAACATCTCTGTTCTCTTCATAAACCTGCCCCGGGACTGTTCTCTAGCACTGAGACCAACAGAAATGAAAGAGTCCACATCAGTATTACTAAACTCTTCACATCCAAACTGCCCACTGGGAACGGCTGCAGGTCCATGCTGAGTCCCTAACCACGCATGTGAGCTGGGAGAGGGCTGCCTGCCCAAAGCCTTGGTGGGGCTATTCCGAGGCTGACCTGCACACAGAGGGTTGAGCTCCCAGCTCAGACACCTGCTCTGCCTCTCTTTAATTTACTACTATAGATGCACTGATAGTGTCTCCTAGTGGCTATATTCTTGAAGGAACAGACCCAAACCCAAACTTCACACCTGAAACTCCCATCCTTCAAAGGTATACAAAATACAAACACATCTCTAGAATTTTAGAGTATCTAAAATGGCATCATTCCAAGAGATGAAATAAAATGAATCATGTAAACACTCACAGTTTAACATCTGAGTTACAAAGTTACATGGTGATTTAACATCTAAAACCTATCTCTAGGTTATACAAATGTGTTTTTTTAAGAAAAAGAAATCAACACAGTAGCAAGGTATTGTGTTCTTTCCCTTTTGAAATACTAACACTAAAGCAAGAGATGAGAGCCATAACAAAACCGTGTGAAGCAAGGTGTTTAGGACCTTGCTTAAAGGTCTGAAGGCAAGCATGCGCATCAATGGGATCAATCTTGTTTAACCTTTAGGTCCTCTCAGAATCCGTAAAAACAAAAGAAATGCTTAAATGTTCTGCCTAAGGTTCAACCTACCACACACTGAGCCCTATGCTAGACACCACAGTCTGTGAAGATGAACTGATGTCGCTGGATCTTTGAACCACGCTAAGGACCAGGACAGGTGATGCAGCATAGCTCAGGCCACCTCCCCCAGCAGCACCCTGTCTGCAGCCATGGCCAGCGCCATGGCCAGCAGAGGACGTTTAAACAGAGAACATCAAACCAAGCAACCCTCAACAGTATCAATACTTGGTCCTAGCCCTTCCTCCTTGAACTAGCTATTTGACATTTTCAGCACCAGCTACACACTAAAACTCAATCTTAATGATGAGATCTTCATCGGGGGATTTTGTAAAAGGAAGGCCTAACAGTCAGGATACAGAGTGTATTCAACAGCAAGCCAAAGCCCCGCTAGCTGGAACTACAGCAAGGTAGACCCAGAGGACCCATGGGTCTGATTTTGCCATGTTGGGGGTCATTTCCATTCTCATTTTCAATTGATTGAAGTTTCCCACTGTCCATCATCCTCTTGGAACATAAAGATTTGGGCAGCAGATTTGCATACATGGATAAGCTTAACCAAATAAGACACTGAAACAAAAAAAAAAAAAAAAAAAAAAAAGACACTGGAAAGGCACGGGACAAGGCAATCTTTCCTAGCAAATCCTGGGTCTAAGTGACCACTACTTCTTTACAATGGAATACAGATTTGCCTTCCTCAGTGTATATATCGGGGCCTTCTGTTGTTCAGCGAGTATCCTGTCATACCCTTGACATCCTCAATTTGGAGATTTTATGTAAGGTCTCCTGTTAGAGGAGAAATAACACACTGCATAAATGACTGTGGTTGGAGTAGTTCCATCACAACAAAATAAAGCCTTTATATACTTCAGATCTCAACAAATGTTTCTAGCCAGCAGACATAAACCTGGAGTGCATTGTACAGTTTGTCCCCAACTCCAGCAGGTCTTTCTCCATGTACCTGTGTGTGCCTGAGATAGATACACGGTTCTGCTTGCAGCAACGGGTGCTTTCTGCTGCCTTTCCCCCCGCCCCGTGCTGGTGCTGGTGGAAAGCCCTTCTTGAGCAAGGTCTGGTCAGTATTCACTTTCCCTGATGATCCTTACAGTGCCTGAGTTTGCTGACCTTAGAGTGTAAAGTTTATCTCCACCCTCAGGTTTTTTACCTGAGGGGAGGGAAAGATGACAATTCAATTTTGTGGGAAGTCCCCACTGGTAAAAAAGGCCTGACAAGTGAAATGCTTCCCACTCAGCTTGTTTTCCACACCTCCTTCAGCTATTGCCGAGCACTAGTTGAATCATACCAAATAAACAGGTTCAGCTTGTCTTCATCTAGGTAAGTTTCCTAAAAAGTTTGAAAGCAAAGCCTAAATTTTTCATTTGTTTTCTTACCCTGACAATTTACCTCTGTACAGTAAGGAAAGCAAAAGCATGCATCCATGGAAGCCTTTCTGCTTCTGGTGCTCCGATCTTTTTCAGCCCACCTGTTCAGCCAACTTCTTTTAAAAGCACCTCTCTTTCCACGCACATTTAAAACCTCCTCTCATCCAAAGTTGACAAGTGCCTCTAACACAACCACCTCTCAGCATCTTTTCTCTTATTAAACCCCTGCACAACAGATTCCACATTCTCCTACTGGCCCGAAACAAGCACTGACCTGCCTGATGTGGGAATGAAAACAGCAGGTGACCATAGCGCCCAGATGGGAGCAAAACTTGGGGCAGTCCAAGGATACAGAAGGGACAGAAAAGACAGAGCTGCAACCCTACACACGTAGCCTGCTTCCTCCTCGTGGCTCCAATAATTATTTGTTGACAGTATTTAGTTAAGTGATTTCATTGTCACAGCAAATGCTACAGGGCAGATTAAATTGCTGGGCTGCTAGCAAAACAGGATTGTACAAATTTGGAGCAGAAATCCCCCGCAAAGCCAAGACAGTAGCAAACAGTAAGTTAGTTATCTCTGTCACAGTCCAGTGAAGAGCCAGAAAAGCCCCACAGATTTGCCCTCTGTCAGACCTGGGGAACTGTCCTTTTTCTAAAGCAACCAGAGCTTGTACTTTCTAACCTTCCGCTCCTCCCAGGCCAACTCCTCAGGGGCCACTCTGCAGACAGCCAGTCCCTTCCTCTGTCCAGGTAACAGGACACTTGCGTGCACACCCTCACAGACATGTGTCAGGTTATTTAAATCAGATCAGTGAGTCTTTCAGCCTGGGAGACACAAAAGCAATATAAACAGAGCTTCGTTTTGCACTCTGTCCTCAGAGAGTCCTATCCAGAGCAGATCATGCTGATACAACCTGACAACATCCAGGGATAAAGCGGAGGCTCACACCAGACTCAGTCTAATACTAGCCAGTATTATAAGAGGGCAACCAGAGATCAAAGAAAGGTTTTGTTTTCTTTCCTACTACCAGTTACTCCATAAATCAAAGAAGCCCCCAGCCCCATCAGAGCGACGAAGTGGCTGATCCTCGCAGTCCCATCCTGGGTAGGGACAAAGCTTTCCTTCCAAGGGACGCTACCAGGGCTGAACTGTGATTGCTTTTCTTTAAAGCCTCTTGTATAACCCTTTGCCCTTCCCAGCATTTCTCTTGCTAGCACTGTAATGCATTTGGCACAAAACTGCAAAATTGCAAAACTCCTTGAGAAGTTGGATTTGTTTGTTGCCTTTTTAAGAGGCGGGTGGAGGAACAGCTCCTCAATTCTTTTGGAACTATTGATTGTTATTATTATTGTTTTATTTAGGAGGCTGCTCCCCCCTCCACCTCTGAGTTAAGCATTCACTTGGGACTTCTTTCAGGCAGGTGGTTTAAGCTTGATCTGCGCTCCAGGGGTTAAATACAGAAGTGACAGGAGGAAAACCAAAACCCTTCCAGTGGCTCATATTTGAAATTCTTTTTTTCCCCTCTCTCTCCCTCTCCTAAATGTCCGCTTCTCTTTTCCTCTCACTGCCTAATTATTCCGTTAGGGAATGGTGAGGGGCGAGGATTAGCAATGAAGCAGATGACAGGAAACTGTTACCAAAAGCACAATGACGGACCCCCGCCTCATCCTCCCGTTCCTCCCCCCCAAGAGACGGTCCCCCTCACCCTTCTGTCGATGCCATGGTCCCGAAAGCCCCCCTGTCTTCTCAACACTCCAAGGGATTGTTTTGGGCAGCAGGGCGCGAAGGAGGTTGGCTCTTGGGGATAACCCTCGCTCGCCTCTGGGAACAAGCACGCAATTCCTTGTAATCCTGGGGGCTCCGTCGGGCGGGAGTCCGGCACCTCCGCTCCTCGGCTCTCCCCCCGCCCGCCGCCGCCCCGGCGAGGGCTCTCCGCGCCCCGGCACCGGCCGCTGCCCCGCGGCCCCCAGC